AGGATAAAGAAATTGGAGCAAGGATTCGCATCTACACATTCGGCTTGCTTAGTTTAATCATGATTAGTCTAGTTTCTCTTATGTTTATGTGCTTTCCAGCTGTGATTATGGGCTAAAAACTCTTGCTTTCGTTTAGTTAGATGAAACCTAAAATTATGAGTTAGTTTCTTACTTTATGGGTTATATGAATTTGGTTTATGCATGCGTTTGATTATCATTACCTAGCATGTTAAAGTTTGTAACTTTGTTGCTTAATTTCAAGTTTAGTGTAGCTTAGTGACCATTAAATTACATGAACTTGATTACCTATTGATTTAGTGATCATTAAATTGCTAGAGCTAGGATCGACCAAATCTTAGATAAGTAATAAAAATAACAAATTTAGATGTGCTGGAGAACATAATTGTGACCATAATGGTGTTTGCTTAGATTAATCTTACATAACCCAATTATAATTAATAACTAATTCTATGTTTGCTTGAGTATGACCTTACAAAGTAGTACATGAACGGGTGAAAATATTAGTAGATTGGACCAGATCGCTAATTACATAATAATTGGTAACCAACTTAATTAATCCATAAATAATAACTAACCATAGGAAAAGGTAGATTCGAAACTAAAGGAAAGTGTTTTTATTATCTTGATTACATCCGTTTTTAGTGAAGAGTTAGTTTTAAGTTAATCTGAACTTGTAAAATCAGATAAAACCCCCCACTTTTAGTTGTTTTTTCTTAGTTTAACTTTTAGTAATTATTTTATTAATTAAATACCGTTCTCTGTGATCGACACCCGACTTACCCAAGCTATACTATAATCTGACTAAGTACACTGCCTATAGGTGCATAGTTAGTATAAGTTTGTTAGGTTATAAATTTAAAAGTTGATAGGTATATTTTGTGCACATCAAGTACTGATAGCCGCCAAGTCAAGGCGGAATCCCGTAGTGAGGAGCTGGGCTTTTCAGTTGACGGCTGAAGAGGTCCGAGCAGTGCCAGATGTTATCAGGTATGTGTCTATCTTAAAATTTTATGCTTAAATTATTTATGCTTATGTTTTATCTTCATATATTTAGGGATGTTCTTAGTCAATGGGATGTGTACTCATGTTCTTTTCGATTGTTAAGTGTTAATATTCTGACTTAAAACAACAATAACAAATGTAAAATGACCATATACAAAGCGAGAACATACAAACAGACATTCATGATTTCAATGTTTAAAGCACCACCATCCTCTCCACCTTCACCCTTAAAAATGTTTTTAATATATATATATATATATATATATATATATATATATATATATATATATATATATATATATATATATATATATCATTTAAACGAATTTATGTGTATTATTAACAATATTAATAATAACGAATTTAAAACATAGTATACTTATTTATATTTTTAATAATAATAATAATAATAATAATAATAATAATAATAATAAAGTTTTTTGTTTACAGAAAAATCATCATATTTTTGTTTGTAGAAAAATGAGAAACACTAAATTTTTTCTTTACATCCTACCTTTTTAGGGATAATGACTTAAAAGGTAATATATTCTTTGAATTGTACACATTTAGTCACTGACTTTTTTTTCGTCCACATTTACCTCTTCAACTTGTTAAACTGTACATATTTAGTCCTTATGACCGGCTACTACAGGTTAGCCAGTAAAAATGACTTAATAGGGTAATATATTTTTCACTTTTTACACATTTAGTCCTTAATATTTTTGTACACATTTAGTCCTTAATATTTTTTTCTTTTGCAAAATAAGTCATTTTTGTTTTTGTACTCATTCAATACTTATGAATGATTTCTTTAGGTTTTTCTCACGAAATCTTACGTGAGATAGTCATATGATGGTGGAATAGGTTGAGGTGGTCCTGCTATATGTTGTAGGCCAAGATACCTGGTGCGTGCCGGCTGTAAGTCGTAGGCATGGAGGCTTGAGAAGAGCGGTTAGGTTAAGGCGGCATGCCGACAAACCCTAGGTATTCCGGTCCGATGACTGATTGGACCTGTTGCATGTTGACATTCCAGTCCGATGACTGATTAGGCCAAGGTATTCCAATCTGATGAGTGTGGGCCCATTATACATGATAATGTGTTTGTTGTATCGGGTATTTTGGGGGAAACTCACTACACTTTGTGCTTACCCAGTTGTTTATGTTTTTTAGGTTCTATCGTTGATCGTGGGAAAACGAATGCATGACTGTACACACTCATCAACAATATTGAGGATTTCGCGTTTCTTATATTACCCTGATTTTCGATAAATGTATTTTGGAATAAACATTTTTTCTTAATAATGGATTTATAATTAGGGACTTTTGCCTTATTTAAAAATGAAAATTTTTTGTTGTGAAATAACACGTTACACATAAACTTCAACAGCCCCACACACTTTATCAATGATTGTCACATGTAAGATATCGTGAGAAAAACCTAAAGAAATCATTCATATGTACTGAATGAGTACAAAAACAAAAATGACTTATTTTGAAACAAAAAAATATTAAGGACTAAATGTGTACAAAAATATTAAGGATTAAATGTGTACAAAATGAGAAATATATTACCCTACTAAGTCATTTTTTTCGGCTAACCTGGAATAACCGGTCATAAGGACTGAATGTGTACAGTTTAACAAGTTGAAGGGGTAAATGTAGACAAAAAAAAAAAAAAACTCAGTGAACAAATGTGTAGAAATCGAAAAATATATTACCCTTTTAAGTCATTATCCCACCTTTTTATTTTGTTTTTTGTTTTAGAGTGTGTTAGTGACTTGGTGTAAATATTAAGAAAAATTGGGTATCTTGAGAATCTCAAGTTGAGATACAAAATCAACTATCAGAAATTTATGGATATTTAAAATTTCGGATATCTATTTACACCCTAGTTGGAAAATGGTGTAAGGTAAAAGTATAATCGTCCTAAAAAGAATTGGAAGCTTGTTTTATGGAGGAAAAAAAAGGATTTATTTTTTTTTAGGTTTTACAAACTACATTTTCATTTTTGGCCTATTTCCTCCTTTCTCGCGACCTCGGCGGCCTAGGGTTTCTATTTTCAAACTACAACAGTTTTGCCTATAAAATCAAATCATCTGCTCGACTTAAATATCATAGCCTCACTCACAGATCTACTTCAGCAGTATAGTTTTAGGGTTTTAGTCTTCTTACATATATCACAACCCAGACTTCTTTCAGAAAACGAATTGGCTGAAGAAGAGGCTCGCTCTAAATCAGATATATAGTCTTCTAGTGTTGCATTTCAACATTTGTCTATCTTTTTTCAATCGCTGTTTCTGTGTCATATCGATAAATCATCTGTTTGATTTAATTTCTGTTGAGTTTTTATCTTGAAATCTTACAGTGATGATTAAATATACAGCTTTAAGCCAGTTCTGCTTCTGAGAATTCATGATTGATAGAGCTGTTGTTTACTCTGAGTTTATAGTTTAAAAGACTTTATTTTAGAGAAAAAAATTTATAAGATTTGTATGCCGATGATGATTTAATCCAAATGTATGAGATGCTTTGGATCCAAGACCTTGTTTTACAGGGAGAACCACTTGGTGAAGCTGTATTACAAATGATAATACTGGATTTAACTGAGGTTCTATCAGTTTTATCAACTAATCTTTCTTTTTAACTGATTTCGAATTTTATCCCATGAAAGTTTGCTACAATTTATTGAGTTTAAACTATACTCTTGCCATGAAATATATTATGGGTTTGGAGTCTGAAAAAACTCATAGAGTAATGTGTTGTCTATCAGCTTCTTCTTTCGTAGCATTAACGAGTTTGGAGTTAAATAACAGCACTAGAATTTATCATGTTCGATTATCTATTTTTGGTCAAGTTAATTTTTATATTTTTTTTCTTCATATACCCTTCAATTGTTTTCATAGTATTTTGCAGTGTATTGTTGTTTCGGATGTTTTGCATGATATATGCAAAACGTATTGTTTTGATATTTTTATCATGTGTTTCTAGTGAAAATGGTTTTGGGGTTAGATCCACCATCTCTGTATTTGATCCTAGCTAATTAGAGGTCGAACAAGCAGATGATAAAAACAGTGTTGTTTAATAAAACAAATCAATGATCACACTTGCCATTCATTAAGACTGAAATAATTTTTCTGAAATTATTTGATCATGATGTTTTTAATATGCTAAACCTCAATCGGATAAAACTAAATGCAAATTCAGAATTAATTCAAAATTCTAACTTTTTACACAACTATCAGAATTCAGAAAACAAGTACCAAATGACCAAACTTCAATCCTAACTACTTTGTTCTTGGATCATGTAATAAAAAAAGCTTCAAGCTTTCACAGCCTGCTTGATGTGACTTAGTTTCAGATTGAAATAAGAGCTCGCAAATCATAATTACCATTAATGGTTGAAGGGATCACGGGTTGCCTTCCCTTCTTTAGGTCGAGGGTTCAAGTGGTTAGATTTGCCGTTTAAAAAAAAAAACATAGTTATCGATTTGAAATAATACTGATATTTTTTAGGGTTGAATTGAATTGGTTGTAGGATTAAAATAAGAAATTAGAAGTTTAGAGGGTGTTTGGGATTACTTTTTAACCTCAAATGTGTTTGGATTAGTTTTTGAGGGGCAAAAGTCATAATTTGTTTTTAAAAAGTGTTTGGCTTAACTTTTCCCTGTAAAATAACTAAACATGATGTGCTTACATATTTATAATGATTTACTATTTTATAACAATTTTTTTACACATATATTATAATTTTGATAACATTTTATTAGAAAATATAAAATATAAAATTCTTTTAGAAATTTTCTAATATTTTTGATTAGACAATGACAATATTAAAATTACGATCATATAAATTGTAAATAATTCATAAAAAATATCATAGATAATGTCATTTTACATTTATCCCCGGTGATTATATCTTGTACAATAGTATCTAGTATTGTTGCCATATACAATTTCATTAACATTTATAACTGATTTTACCAATCTTTCACGAATTCTAGTTCATCAAAATAGAAAATCGAAAACAACAAATAAGCTGCAAATCAGAAAAAATAAAATAAAAATGTAACTGTTATATACAATTTCAGTAATATCATCAATTTCATTAACATTTGTAACTGGTTTCGCTAATCTTTCACGAATTCTAGTTCATAAAAACAGAAAATCAGAAACAACAATCAATTTCTCACTCTTATAAGTATATTAGACGAATTCACGCGCGTTGCGCGGCGCAGGTTAAAAATATATTGTTAGAATATAGTTTTCAGACACCTTTTAGTTAATTCGATTCATCAATTTAGATTCTTTTATAATTATTATATTTAATGTTTTCCTTTTAACTATGTTAAAAAATATATATTGATTTTTTTTTTAAACATTATTTGATATTTTACTTTAGATTTTAAATTTCACACTAAAGTTTTAAGTTTATTTGATACATTAATGTAGATTATTTATTTAACTATATATTGAAGTTAACAAATTAAGTATATTATATTGATAAGTTACAAATTCTTCCATTTATGATAATGTTTACAACTAAAAGCGTATTTAAGTTAATAAATTAAGCATATTGTATGGAAATATGAAAACTTAGGATTTTCAAATGAATGTGGTGAAAGAAAAAATGCTTCATTTATAATATAGTATGATGTTAACACAATACAACACAAGTACATATGGATTTCTATACACAACCAGGTAACATATGGGGGTGCATTACAGAAGCAAATTGGAAGAAGGAGGTGCATAAGTACCAGTGAGGTGCATTACAGAAGCAAACTCGGGAGAAACAAATCAATACATTTGGGGGGACACGATGAAAAAATCTCGGAACAAACAAAGTAAATTGGAGCAGAAGCTTACCTGAACGGAGAAAGGGGTAGGCAACGCCGGCAATGGTTGTTGACTGAGGAGTATCGTGGTTGGGAAACGGGAGTGGTGAAGCCAATCGGAACGAGAAGATGATAACAGATCTGTAAGGTGGGAGAAAAAAGACGAGAACAGATCTGTAGGTGGATATAAATTGATTAGAAATTTACTTTTTTTGGTCCAAAAGTCGCAAAAAGATACAAGATCGTGTCTTTTTGTCCAGCCATTTTTTCTTCTTATCTAAAAGTTGTTTGAAGAACTTTTCCATTACCAAACAACTTTTGGGACTTAAGTTAAAAGTCCAAAAGTCGTTTAAAAATGAACTCCAAACACCCTGTTAGTTCCCAAACAAACTACACTGAGGATATAATAATTTCTACCATATGATTTCACTTATAATTGTCATAAACTTTACTTGTATAGTTCAACTTTCTCAAGCTTTTGGGCTTTTGGCTTCTTTTGTCTCAGTTGTTTTATCAAATCCTAACAGATTAAAATCAAAAAGAATATAATGCAAATACATTTGTTGTGTTCGACACAACAAATATAAAAAAACCCTTCAACCATGGCACATATTTAGAACCCTGAAACTAACCTCCATCTTTAAATTAATCAAACAAGCAGAAAGAGCTATACAATTACAAACAAACTACACAAGTGCACCAATACATAACAAGGAACTGGAAACCAAATTTGCCATTTGGATATTCAAAGTTTCAAAGGGTGTCTTCATTTCTATGCGACTATTTCTTGTTTTTTTCTTTCTTATGGTGTACCCAAGAGAAGGAGAATCAAACAAATGACCAGTTGATGAACATGAAGGCTATACAATGAGGGGTATCATTGTCATTTAACACCTTCCATGCCACTACACGTTCATACGATACGGGTCTCCCCATACTTGACAAGCATACACCCCCAGGAAGACAAGCATAACCCTAAACAGATCAACAACAACAAAAAAAAATTATTATTAGCATTTTCTATAAAAACAAATTTTCATCAAAAATTATTAAATAGTAGTAAAATGTGTAACCTGTTGCAGAATCTGTGGGAGCTCTGAAAAAACATTCTTCCTTCCATTTTCATCAAAAATCTTGTCCAATGAAACATCTTGAAGTGAAACTAACGTTGTCTCCAGCATATCAAGCCCCGCTTGATTGGCAAAAGTGAAAACTGGCAAAGTCTGCAGAATCATAATATTTTTTTTATAAAGGCTTAAATTCAAAAAATAGCAATGTAATTTGAATCCAAATTTTTGTTTTTTACACCATCAATCGGGACCCACAAAATAAAAAACAATAAACAGGAAAATAAAGTATCAAAGTAATACCTTCAGAGAGCAACATGTTATGGCATCCGAGTGATTCCAAAGTGTTTTAAGAACAGATTCGCTTCGTCCATCAACACTTTTAAAAAGCTCCTCACCTAAAAAGCCACTGTTGACAAAAAAACAATCAGAAACTTTAAAAAATGGGCAAAATGAAATAATTAGCATCATTTTACTACTATTTTTTTTTACCCAAAAAGAAAAAAGAAAATATTTGATACCTATAACTTTGTTGGATCCAATGAGTGAGTGTGTGAGCTTCAGGGTTTCCCTGTAAACTTGGAGACCCAAAAGGAGAAGGTGAAAGAGCCAAAGCGACTCTTTGCACTGATGATATGATGCTGCGTACATATTGTCTAGCCATCGCTGCAATGTTTTCTTCAAGATGAATCTCAAAACCAAACTGAAACGCGATTGTCATAACTGACTTTGTGGGCCCCGCCTGATTGGAACCTCTTTGATTCCGGGGTGCCTCCAGTGTTGATGCCAGGTCACGTGTTGGATTTTGAGTCTGTTGTATAAATCATAAAGTTTTAATGGAATTAAAAAAAAAAATAGTGACTAAATTGATAAAGTAGAGAAAGTACAAGGGCGTTTCTGTACTTTTTGTTCCCTATTTATCAAACACGCAGATGAGATGAGAAGGGCGAAACTTTTACCAGTTTATTATTAATTGGAATAATACGAAAACCAGATGGAAGGAGAGGGGCGTCATCGGTAAATGAGGCATCAATGGGGGCAAAAACAAGTTCTGCAGAGGTTCCGATTGCATTCTCATCGACTCCATTGCAAAGCTAATAAAATAAAACACAAAACACAAGCATTTGATTAGGTCAACAACAAATCATTTGACCTTAGTCAAATTTGGTCAACCAAAATGTTTACTTAAAAAATAAGTCGAAAAAAGTTAGATTTATAATTATAAATTTCAAAAAGAAATCCTGAAACACGGCTTACCTGCAGAAAGAAGATGTCACCAGGCATCATCATGTTGTCTTGATAATGGCCCATGTTTTCAAGCTTAACCACTTCCATGAACTGCATCTTAAAAAAATTAAGCCTTGGAATTTATACTAGCATAAGAAAACGAATCACCAAAGCATCGAGTCAACTTGCCTCTTCGTGCTCAAGGGTATGAGCCAATGGAAGAATAACTTGACTACCGAAGCTTCCATTTCTATCCATAGGCAAGCTCGTGGGACCCGCTTTAACTGAAGCAGCAGAGTATGCATCCATACTGCTATCAGCCCATTCAGATCGATATTCTCTTAAAAACCTCATAAGTATGGCTGGAGCCACATCCTACATACCAAAAATATCAATAAATTAAATTTATATTTTTTTTTAAAATCGAAATTTAGGTTCGTTTTAGTTTTTAGGGCTAATGGTTTGTTTCATCAATGCTTACTTGCAACAACATCGAGGCTTTAGCACATAACACTGCGTTGCTGACCACCGGAATCCCGTGGGCGGCATACATCTGATTCGCACCCGTCGCCTTTGCCGGAGCCAAGTTTACAAAGACGGTGACATCATCAACGCCGTCACTTTCCGTCACCGACCATCCCTCGTCCGCGAAGCCATTCACGGCTTCATTAAAACCTCTGTCAAAACAAGAAAGAATTTACGGTTTCTACCCTCCAAAAAAAAAGTTTACACTTTCTACCATCGAATTCCAAAAAACAGACCTGCTCATTCTCTGGCCAAGTGCACGAAGAGCAGCTGGTCTTCTTCCCCAACTTGTGACTGTTGGCTGAGAAATCTCTTGTGAAATTTGCCTTAAATGACTAAACGCCTACATTTAACCCAAAAAATAAATTCAATACTTAGATTTTAGGAACTAGGGTTTATCATGTACTTTCATTTATTTCTACTATAGCATTATACAATGCCATTTATTACATTTAACCCCTCAAAGATATGATCCTACCGCAAATGTCGTCCTTTGAGCAAGTAAAGTGGATGACTCGTATAAAGGGCGCAAAACTTCAGGAACACTCCATGGCTACATGTTACATAACAAAACAAGTTAATTTCAAAAAAAAAAATAGTTTCATTTTAGCAAGTGACTGATTTCTATTGAAATGAAACATAGTAAGTTTCCTCTTTTGATGATACCTCTAAATCAACATGATCAACTATGTGAATTATGGAGCCACCACCTTCACATGGTCTTATTAAATAACCACTTGGCAGCATTTCTGCTCTTACAAAATGAGGGACAGGTGGCATACTAGGACCATTCTGAGTGTTGTTCAATGATCTTTCACAAATCTGAAATCAAAATGTTAAATTTTCTTGAAATCAAATTACAAAATATTAGATTTTTTTTTTTTTTTTAAAGATTATAATGAAACATACCACCAGGCTACCATCCTCCATAGGAGACGTATACCGTAGTAACCAGAAGTCACGAGCTGGTGCTAAAGTAGTAGGTGCATAAAGCTATAAAAGAAAAAGAAAAAATAAATATAAGAAAGTCAAATTTCATTATGGGATGAGTTATCTTTTTTGTCCATTTTCTTACATTTCATATGTAATTAATGTATTAGATATGATCAACAGAAATCCCTTATTATTACTTTTTGGAGGTTGTAAACACTTGAGCATAGTTTGGGTGCCTTTTATACCCTTTTCCCCATTCTTCTTGAGCTAACTTTTTTATAAATTACATATTAGTAATAAAATATACGGAAAAAAAAAATACAAAAAAGCACTTGTACTATCGCCATTTTATCGGTTTAGGCACTAAACTTTTTTTTTTTTTTTTTTTTTTTTAAGATGGTGAATGTACGTACATTGCACTTTTCTGCATTTCACCCTAAAACTATAACCCAAATTGACCCATTTTCTTACATGGGTTGACCCATTTATGCATAATTTGACTTGTATTGAAGAAAATTTTCAAACCTGCATATAAAGCAGCTCGATTGTCCCATTATTTGCTGTTGAAAGCACATTAAGAGTATCAACTGCCCTACAGTCACGAAACCAGGATGACCAATCTTTAAGGATTTCAGCAACCTGAAACAAAAAGATCAAGACTTTTGACTATTTGAGTCAACCAAATTGTTTTTTGACTTCAAAATCGACATGGGTCTTTTAATTTTTTCAAGAAAGTTTCAGTTACCAAATTAATCTTTTTGAAGAACAGTATGAAAAGAAGAAGAAAAAAAAAAGGGTTTCAATTTGTTGCGAGAGTATCGATTTTTGGATATGATTAGTATGGTCAAAGTCAAACACAAAAGTCAAAGCAAGAAACTTACTCGTGTGGGTTCAAGACCAATAAGACCACAAGCTCTTGATGCAACACCCGTGCAACCATGAGAAATAGCAATGATTCCAATGGAATCCGGACCAGGCTACACAAATTAACAAGATTATATTTATAAATAAAAGAAGATATTAATAAATAAATATAATCTAGTTACAAAAATATTTCATTTCTAAAGTTACATTTATAATCTTTCTTTATTTCGGAAGTCAATTAAATCTTGCATGACAACATGATTGAAAATGGAAGAAAAATTATCGAACACCTTTTCTCATGAAACATTTTCCATTTTGGAATCTCACTAAATATGCATTTTTCTTGATTAGAAGGAATTTATGAACTCGTTTTGGGTAAAGAAAGTTCCTTTTTTATAATTATTAAAAGACCAAACAAGAACATTTGACTCATTTATCTAAAACTAGGTTGATTTAGGCTATATTTGCTAAAAAAATTTAGCTAAAAGTGAAATAAGTCAAATGGGTTCTAACGTGTCAAAACTTGTCTTAAGTTGTATTTAAATGTAAAATGCTTACAATCTCATAAAACATTTTGTTGATGTAGAACAATAGAAGTAGATTAGCCTTGTAGTAATATAGTTTTTGGATTAACATTTAATACATTAATTATTTAAAACTCATATAATTAAAAAAAAAAAAACAAATGTTGCAAACTTCAGGGGACTCGAGGTGGGAATGTGGGGATAGTGAGTGAAATGATGAGATTCTAATGTGCTTTAGAAGGTTACCACCTTTCTTTAACATTATTTTAAATTAATGGATTAGAAGATAATATTAATTAATCCTTAATGGAATGATGATTAAATTAATTATAAAAAAAAAAGTGACAAAACAAAACCTTCATCCCAGGCATTTGGACCCATTCCACTGCTGTCCCAGTAGCCTTTGATAGAAACTCTGTTAAAGTCTCCTCAGCAATCGACAAAAGCCTACAAAAACACCAAAAAAAATAAAAAATAAATAAAGACAAAAATAAACCATCAATGGTACAAAAAGTAAAGCATAAAGTACAACTAACCCTGCAGGACTTGCATCCTTTGGTGGATGCTGAGGTGTCAAGTGGTGTTGCCCGCTTGTCACCACTGACTCACAACTCGTGTCTGTGGTGGCAAGTGTCACCTATAAAAAAAATATAATGTTAACAAAAAATGATTTGTTACCTTTTGACTTAATACAGAAAGAACGAGTTAATAGAGAAAGTCAGTGAAATGAGGTGTCAAATATTTTTTAAACATCATGTATACTTATCAGGTAATTTTTTATGAAAAAGAAAATGTTGAAAGTGGAATCTTTATTACATTTTGAGTTTGTTGACGAAAGTAGCTGTTTTCATACACCAAATGAGATACTTGTTTTTGTAATCGATCATTCTCCTCCATTAATAACTTATTCATTGCTGTTAGTTTCCTGTTAACAGCTTGTAGTCTTGATGCCTCCTTCCTCTGCTTCTCCCTACATCTGTATGCACCATAAGGGTATATGAGTAATTTTATCCTACCATAAACATTAGATGATTGTTTTTGTTGTAGTTGTAGTTGGTATCACACTTGTTATTTGACTCTAAATATTCAAAGAAAGAATCATGGGTAGGTAAATCACAATATATTTCCTATTTTATCCATTTTGCATCTGAAAAAATGGGACCCACCTTCTTCTTTGTATGTATTATAGGGTTAAATGCATATTTATGCAACAAAGTTTCACCTTTTTCCCAATTTATGTTGGATTTTCAGACTAAATATGCATCATCGTCAACAAATTGGCATGTAGTGTATGATTGTTGATTCTAACACATCACAAGGTCCACAAAAATCAAGAATTGTACATAAAAAAAAACGAAGTGTTATAAATTAGAATGATACCTTCGGTTTTGAAACCAAACTTTGATTTGCTTTGGCTCGATATTGGATAAAATTGGGCACTCACGAATGAGTTGTTGTCTACGAATGGAGCTTGGTTTTGGGCAATCATGATATAATCTTTCTAAAGCTTCAACTTGTTCGGGTGTGTATCGAACATATTTTCCATTATCCATTCCCAAATTGTCATCTTTGGAGGGCGAAGATATTGTCATCATGATTCTAGAATCAAAATCCCAAAATTTAATGTGTAAAAAAAGAAAACTTTTTTGATAATTCAAGCACCCTTTGTCTTAAATTGAATATTCAAGCATCTAAGCATGAAATCGGAAGTCTAAACTGAAAGCCCTTTTCTTTTCTAGTAAACTCATCACACATGTCAATCAAGATTCAAGAATCACCCATAAAATCAAAATCCCATCTCACTTTTTCAAGAAAATTCAAGGGTTACTCTAATTTCCATCTAGAATCTCCATAAAATCAAGATTCCAACTCAATTTTCCAAGAAAATTCAAGAACTAGAAAACTACACATGATTTCCATGGAGAATCTTCATAAAATCAAGATTTTAACTCAAATTTCCAACAAATTTCAAGAAGTAGAAAACCTCACATGACAAGCACTCAGATTTCCATCTAGAAACTCCACAAAATCAACATTTTAACTCAATTTTCCAAGAAAAATCAAGAACTAGAAAACCCAGATGGAAAGACACTTAATTTCAATCAAGAATCTGACTCCTGTAGAAACTTTTAAAGAAAATGAGAACCCTAAATGAAAGAATTATCTGGGGTTGTTGAGCATACATATCAACTATGAGGAGCAAAAGCAAAAAAACATGTGTAGAGTAATGATTAAAGCAAAAAAACATTCGTCACATCTCATGAATAAAAATATACATATATCTATATATATAAACACATGTATATGTATAGAAACATAAAGTAAAGATAAGTGTTGAGCATTTGGTGGAGCTTGTGTCTGAAGCTAATACAGATTTTCCAAAATGCTTATTGACCAAGCAATGGTATGATAGAGAGAGATTACTATTACAAAAATCATAATTAATTACAAGCACCTTGTTTTGATGTGCAACGTTGTCGTTTGCGCTTGTTCTTGTCTCCTTTCTTAATCAATTTCCCTCACAACCACGCAGCTCCAAGCACGAAATGCAAATCTTCCATTATCGGATCACTCGAGATTTATAAAAACCAAGCAAAAGTATGATAATTTAAAAGAAACCCAAGTTGTGGTTTCGATAAAATCTTTTTGGGTATGTGAAATTGTGTGTGTATGGAGGGAGGATTTTGAAGGGCTGAGAAGGTGTTAAAGGGGAACCCCAAATAGGAGACAAGAGGAGACCATTTTTGGATTATCATTCCATTTGGCGCTGTTGCTTTTCTTTCTTTTTATTGCTTTCTTTCCAGTTTCAACCACACAAAGAAACAGATAGTGGATGTTTATTTTATTTGGTTTGGCAATTGGCAGTGGCACTTTCAACAAGATGGACTTCTGCTGATTTTAAGTTGCTTTGGTCTCTTTTCTTTTCTTACCCAATTTGTCCTAAAGAAAAAAGGAAAAGGGAATGATGCCTCATGGAAATGTTTGAACTTTGAATATGTTGTCAATAAAATTTACCCTTTTTTATGTCATTAATCACCTGTATCACATCACCGTTTATAGGTTATAGGCTTTCTAAATCTCAAAAAGCATGTGTGTAAGTGTGTTTGAACTATAAGGCTAATACCGTTTTTACTGTTGGCCACCTAAGCTGATGGGGATATGTTTACCAATTTTGAAGTTTTTAAAAATGTTTAGGGTGTGGTCTTTTATGTTTACCGCCAGCAAAAGAAAAAAAGAAAAAGGGTCAAGTTGAACGGTAAAGGAAGAAAGAGAACGGTGGAAACCACCGGCGGTAAAAAGTATGTCACGGACCGGTGTTTACCAGCAGTAAAGAGGTCCACGTAAGCTTACCATCATTAACAAATGCAAGACACTTTTTAGCGTGAAACTTTAAAATTCCAATTTTGTTAAATAATAAACAAATCTTAAAATGGCTATTGACATAGAAGTCTTTAAATTTGATAAGTTTTGTCATCATCTTTTATAGATTATACTCTTTGTAAATCCCAAAAAAGCATGATGTGTGTTTGAACTACAAAACTTTAAAATTCCAACTTCGTTAAGTAATAATCAAATTTCAATAAGTTTTGTCGGTTTTGTCTCTGTAATGATTTTTTGTTCGTTAATATCCAAACATATGCAAATGTATTTTTTTCTCTTGTTATTTGTAACAACAGGTTTTCAAGATACCATTAAATCAAATTTGCAAAAAATTCTTAAGTTTATAAATATTTTATGTTTTTACCCTAAGTATTTTATATTTTTTTTCCATATTATATTATTCATACAGAAAAAATGTATTTATACACGAATTTTTTTTAAGTAAACGTTGTATAAATTCGTTTATTAGAAAAAAAAATACTTAAGGTAAAAATGCAAAAAAATTGTAAACTAAAAGAGTTTTTTTTTTTTTGTTGCAAAGTTTGATTTTGGTAATCTAAAACCCTATTGTTAGAGACAAAAAAAAAGACTTAGTAAATTTTGGACATTAACAAGCAAAAAGTCATCAAAGAGATAATGTAACGCCCGTGTTTCTGGGCCAGACATTAATGATGATGTGATAGTCTAGGTTAACCTTTGTAACCCGTTTCGAAATAATAGAAGTGTATTATTTGAGTATTATGTGTTTTGTGCTTAATTGTGTGACTTAAATGAATTAAAGATAAAAATAAACGTCAAAATAAAATGTTAGATAAACCCGATATCTATGAAGGATGTGGTAGTGGTCGTGGCAAGGTTTCCGAATATATAATAAATGCTGAAATCCGAGTTATAACGAAGAAGTTATGACCTGTCGAAGTTTCACGACAGAACCGGCACGACGCTGAATGACGTAAAATACGAATTTAAGATAGAGCGATATTTAGTCTTAGTGATCTAAACGAAAGTCGTACAATACGTTAAACCGCGAGCGTGCATAAAAAGTGCGTCTAAATATGACTTCGTATGAGGAAGTTATGATTTTTCGAAGTTTCGACTTAGCGGTATGCAGACCGAATACTCGAAATAGAGATCGAGTGCTTTCTAGCCGAAACAATCTAAATGAGAATCGAAGATCTCATCGGTAGTAGTGTAAAGATGGAAAGACGGACGAAAACGGACGCCAAACGAAGGAGTTATGATTTTCTAACGGAGTTTTCCTGTCCCGGCCTACTAAAAATAATATAATAAAAGTATAGTAAAAATAAAGTCAAAATTAGCCGACGAAGTCTAAACGAGAGTTGTATAGCATAATCTCACCTACGCGTGCATATAAAGAACGTCGAAAACGGAGCTCGTACGCGGAAGTTACGGATTTTACAAGTTTGCGACACAAAATCTGAGGCTGTCAGGCAGACCACGACGTGGTGAAGAAACCCACGACGTGGTGCTGTGACTGATGGGTGCCAGGGTTGTCAGCAAACGTCTCGTCCATGGAAGAGGATAAGGACAGACACCACGACGTGGTGAAGAATACCACGACGTGGCGCCCAAAATAGGGCTATAAATAGAAGCCGATGGTTTCAGGTTTAGGTGCTCATTTCTTCTCTTTCTCGTGCCGAAGCTCTGCATTTAAACCCTCGAAGCCATCCCGAAGCCCCGGTATCATCCCGAGACCCGAAGCAAGTCCCGAAGCCCGAAGATCCCGAGAAGAGAAGAGTTTCCGAGCCGAAGCTCTGCGCGCAAGAAGCCCGGTGTGTGAAGTGAACCCGGTTTCACCAAAGAATACTACTCTTAGAGCCGTAGTACTGTCCGATCATCTTCTGATCAAGTGAGTGTGTAGTTACTTTCTTCTAATACATAATTATGAAGTATTTGATATGAAATACATGTTATGTGTATATATTGTTGTTATAGGTGTGAATGTATATTCACTTTCTTCTAACTCATAGATATGATTTATTCTCTATGAAATACGTGTTATGTGTATGTATCTCATCTGTTACTTGAAATGTGTTTTGAATGAACATGCTATACAGGTTTTAAACTATGAATAAAAATGTATATTTTATCTACTAATATGTTGGGTAGAACATGGGTAGATAGTTGTCGTGTGATAAAACGATGAGTGGCCTCGATGTCATTGTGATCCAGTCATCTAGCGGAATTTAGATGACGACCACAGACTCTTTCTAGACAGTCCCGTGGAACACTAGCAGGCTCATAACCTGTAGGTGTTAATGAACTTGGGTGTTCATTCGCTGTATTCCATCCCCCTCATGGTTGCCTTATTTGACATATATGATGGATTTTGAGCATTCTAACACTCCTAAGTGTACATGCAACCCTAAATACCTTGGATCTATGTTTTCTCTATTATACATGCAAATATGAATATCCAAGGTATTCATCCTAACTAGCATACAAAACTTTGATTCATATGAATATATCAAGTTAGAATCACATACCTCTTTGATGTAGAATGACTTCATGAAGCTTGAGTGCCTAGTGCCCCAAGTGTGACACCTCAAATGGTTCACACAACACCAAATACACTTGGAATAACTTGAGAGAAAATGGAACACTTCATAAAATCGGCTAGCCCTTTCTATCACACATAGTAGCCGATTTTTCCCCAAGAATATGATCTTTATATAGTGTCACAATTAGGGTAAACCCTAATTGTCATGGCTTTCCATTTCCTTGGAACCATGGGTTCAAATACACCATGGAGCATCCATGGAGCATCCTATAGGTTTTAGCCCAACTTGATAATCCATGGAGTCTTAGCCCACTATAAAAGTATGGATGATTTACACAATCAACCCATATATTTAATTAGTCTTCTTTTGATCACTTAATTAATTCTAGATTAATTCTTGATCAATACTAATTAAATAATCTTATTAATATATTAGAACTTATAATATATTAGTAAACCTTAAGTGTTATTTCTCTCATTTTAGTCTATCCAAATGCATGATGCCATGCAACCCAAATGGACCATGCCGGGTCGGGTCAAGTCTTACCAATTATAGTTATGGACTTAGACATTAATCCAACAGTCTCCCACTTGGATAAGTCTAAAACTATTATTGCGTATGACTTCAAGAACTGACTGGCAATCGTAGCTCTCAAAAGCTTCCGTCGAACTCTGACCTTTGTCAATGACTTGTCCATTAGATAAGTGATCATATATTCCTCCATTCTAGATATCATATGGACTGAGACATGGATTATAATCATTCTCTCTGTCCATTTGTTGTTTCCCGATTTCCGATTTATGACGACCGACTAATTGAACAAATCAAATCAGTCCTGGCTTGGCCAAGCACTCACATGTGTCATCGCTAAATCATCGAGGGGCCCACAGATATCGCTTTTATCCCGAAGGTAAAAGGAATGGATAAACTTCGACTCATATGGCTTGTTCTACTACTTGTTGAATCATACACAAAGACACGTTTTATAACATCGAGTTACCAATGCGTTTTCGTGCAATCAATGTATAACCAACTCATAGTAACAACTCATATCTCTAGGTTTGAAGAATATAAGATATTATCGTCTCATGATCACTCGTGATAAAATCCATGAAGTGATTCCAATGAGCGTGGGTTGAATCCAATACTCAGAACTTATGAGCACTCATGAGTGTTGTAGCACCTCTTTGTCCAACATCTTTAGACCTCTACAAGTCAACCCATGACAGTCTTGATTCATATCTACTTCCAACATATGACCGACTGTGGATGGTTTGAATAACTTAGTCATTCGGGAAATTGACCTAGTTTATTCTGGAAGTCAAAACATGCAAAGTGAAACACAAGAATAATTGAATCTAATATGGTATCAAAACCTATGAATATAAATAAGACACTTTTATTTATCACCATACTGATTACTCATTATTCATTGTTTCAGTTTCATCAACTTTATACTTGAATTAAAAACACTAGTTGTCCCTTGCTCCAAGCAAGTACACTATGTTTTCCAAAACAATAGCTTTGCCATACACCAAGTATGCACTCTATGTTTTCTATGATCCTTACTTTGTGAAATAAACCAATTGAACATAATTTCAATGATTCTAATTTCACACTTCCAAATCCTTATCGAAAAATGTGAGAATTTCAAATTCCTATTATTTATCGAAATCTGTTTAGAATTTTAAACTTATATGCACTGACCCTCCTGTAATGAATATGTACAAAGTCACAAAGACTTGTCAACAGTCATTATAAGGTATTCCAATGGAGTTCAACTCCATGGAAACTAAGTCTCATATTTAAAGTACATTGCTTTGAACATGCTTCTTGCATTAAGTTTTCTAATCTTACACAGATAACTTCCACCTATGGAGACAACTCCACATTCTCATTTTGACTATCACTTCTAAACAAGAGATGCCTCTTTTCAGAATATGTCAATATGGTCCTTCCAAAATTAGCACTATATTTCCAACTGTCCCTGAGCAACCAATCTTTGGTAAACCTTAGATTGTCCTCGACAATTGCTTAATCCTTTTAGTCATATCCAATTCTAGACCTTTTC